TCTTCTGAAATGAAGTTCAATAAGAAATGACACACATTAGTCATAAACAATATAAAAAGTATCTAATTAATGAAAATCATGAAATAAAATAAATAGACTATCATACATTTTCCATTTGATCGAACAGAGTGGATGGGTCCCTTGTTCCTCTTGACTGTTTGGGTCTTGCATCTTTAAATCTATTTATATTATCAGAGTTTTACATGTGCACATCACATCAATTAAGATGATATGTACATATGAATTGGTAATAAAAACAAAAAAGAGAATAATGAATGTAATAACAAAATAATAATAATAATGAATGTGCCCCAAAAGCGCAAAACAACTAATAATGAATATAATATCAAAAAAGAGAATAATATATGTGTCCCAAAGTGGACGGTCCACAAATTAAAAAGTGGGTGCTACAAATTAAAAGTGGCTGTTATAAATTAAAAGGACCAAATAAAAAACACCAGTATTTCCCACAAAGTGAGTGTTACAAATTAAAAAGACCAAATAAAAACAAATAAGTACAACTACATGCTTTCATGTGGGTCATGTTGCCATGTTATAACCTGTTCCTTTGCACCAATTACAGTGAATAGCTTGTACCGGTACTTCTTGTGACTCGATACGCTTCTTTAAGTTGGCCAGGGGGACGTCTTGAGTGAGATGAAAACACTCTTACTTCCTCTAAAGGAAGCTGTTCACGTAAACTACGGCTAGACAAGTCAATCAAGGTAACTGGCATGATAGGTACAGAATATGTTTCATAGAATTTTGTAACTATGAAATATTCTTTACAAACGTCAACAAGATCTCTATTCATTACTTGAAGAGCTTTATAAGCATACTTATAAGGCAAACCTGTTATTTGCCAACCCTGACATGCACATTCTCATGCAATAAGATTTACCGTATAATTCATGCGATCACCCTTGCTTCATATATTGCTCCTTTTGATGCCACAGTTACCCTCACGAAAAAGGATTACTCAATGATTTTTGTTAATTCGTTTCACCTTTCAAACTGCGAGTGGCCATTAGTTCCATGATTTATCTCCTAATCAAGTCAACACATTAGAGAATTAGCATATCTTGTACTTCTAGAATCCACTTATTATATGACTCAACTACATTAGTTGTTACTTAGTCATATCGATTACCCCTGAACTGTGATGTGACCCAACGATTTGGTAATGCTTCCATGAACCACTTGAATGCATCCTCAAAAAGTGATCTAATTTCCAACATCTTATCAAAATAGTCTTGCTGCTTATATGCTCTACATGCTCCGATAAATGCACATACAACTGCCTTACTAACATCATTAGGTATGTGTTTTACTTCCTTCTAGAAATTTTCCGTTAAATGACACTCACAAAAGGCATGATGAGCATTCCAAAAAACTTAACAGACAATATCAACTAGACCAAGGTGTCTATTTGACAAAAATGTGATTTCAAGATCTTTAGATATTCCAGAAACCACGTACCAATTATCGGTACTTTCGGCATCCATAATTGCGAATGCAACAGGAAACATTTGTCCATCCCCATCGAGTGAGTTGGCAGCAAGTAGAGTCCCAAGGTATTGTGCCTTCAATGATGTCCCATTGAAAAATATAAGTGGACGACATCCATTTTTTAAGCCATGTATTTATCCATGAAAGCTTAAGAACAATCCACGAAATCTACCTCCTGGTCATCCTTGTCATGTAGCATAACTACCATGATTCCTCTCCATCATATGGTTTATAGATGCCGGTAACTGATTGTATGCCTCCTCTTGTGAACCATGTATGTCTTTGATGGCATTCTCTTTTTCTCGCCAAGCCTTCTAATAGGGTACTTCTAATCCATAATTTCAAGACAAATCACTCATGATTTCTCTAGCCTTGTAATGCGCAGTGTCACTTAATTTATTCTTGATTAAGGATGCAACAAAGTTCTGTGACGCTCTTCTTTATTCATCATTGCTTGTCCCAATATTGCATGAATGATCACTTTTCCATGTTGTGATTTGAAAAACATTCGTCCTGCCTCCCATTTGCATCCATCACCTTTGCATTTTGCCTTTATACGATACCTCTCATTTTTACCAAGACGGTATGCGAAATGGTCTGCTATACCAAACTTGCTAAGGGCTTTTCAGAAATCTTCTAAAGATTCAAATTGTTGTCCTACCCCAACAAGTGTATCCTCCCATGTGCTAAGCAACCTTGGTGCATTGCTTTGTTCAGAACCAGATACCAAAATATTTGAGGGTTGTGGGGATCTGACATCTTCGACTGCCATTGTATTATGTAAAGTACTTCCACAAGTACGTTCACTCCTATGAAATATATACACTAACACATTTAAGAAAGCTTTTTGTAATAAGAATTGCTACTAAGAAAATAAAAAAACAATCAAAGTAAGGCTTGGAACGGGAAAAAAATTTTATTTCTTATTATAAAATTTAAAGCTTCAAACTTAGTGTAGATCAAACGTATCCATAAACACTTGAATATCTTGAAAATTGACGGTCCAAAAAATGCATTACAAGATGCACTATTTCCAATAGTTGAAATCCCTTTTTTCTCATGTCCATACATCTTGAGATTGAGATGATAGATCTGAGGATTTTTGGGCATCAAAACAACCTCTTCTAGTGAATTTTTGATGTGTGTCCTAATTTGATTGTTTATGACCTTACCATTATATAAACATCTTCCCCAAAAAAAAAATGGAATGAAATCACAGTGCAAGATGAAGATTTAGTCAAGGGCTTACAATCAGCTATTAGCTCAAGTAAAGGAAATTTTGAATTCAATTCTAGGGCCAGTTTGGAAGCTCGCATAACTCTACTAACATCTGGGATAATTGTATGTGAGAAAAAGGAGCTTTTTTTTGCAAGCAGGCAGGCAAGGGAAAATGGCATTTTAGTAAGCAGATGAACACACCGAAACCAGCCCTTACACAACAATTTCTTTCTACAAAGAACTCTATCCCTCTTGTCATGCTTGAACCTCTTACCAGTGGGACACAAATAAAGAAGTAGAATACGAAAATTATAGCAACATAGGTTTGATAAGGCTTCAGCCCCAATTGTTGAGATAGGGCAGCAGCCATATATGCTACCCATTTGTTGGAATGCAAAAGATCACTCACAAAACTAGAGGTAAAAACAGGGGCTCCCAGTCCCTCAATCACATCCATATCTTAAAATGACAAATACAGATAAAATGACAATAATTTTAACAAGAGCTAGGCAAATTTAAGAAAGATTATTGTAAACAAGAATTGCTACTGAATTTGAACAAACTAAATATTGTGGATCAACATCTATAAGATCAACATAATACAGAAAAAAAAAAGCCAAAAATTAGTACCACCAATAACATTCATACATTAAAATGACAATAGAGAGACATTGACAATACCCATAAAAAATTAAGAAAAAAAATCAATACATCTTAAAAATTTCCTATCAATTCCGTCAATTGTCAATGACAAATTAAATACAGCCAATATGGCTAAATAAAAACCTAACAAAATAATTTAAGGAAAGGTTGTCATCCACATTTTCATAAGAAACAACATAAATTTCTACACAACTAACAAGCTATTGATGCACATTTTCACTTCAGAGGATTAACGAACACGTTTTCACATTCCAATCTTTAACCGCAAAGTAGAAGTTACATCATAAATATTAAATAAAAAATATTTTAAAATATTTAATTGAACTATTCTTTCACACCTGAGCCTCAAAAATCGAGCTCAGTCTGTGATGGGCTTTGTTTCAATATAGTTGTGCTATGTGGAACCATCGTAGAGGCTCATGGGACCTTCGATTGTAGAGAGAGTGAGAGAAAAACCTTGAGATGGACAGTAACACCTTCAAATGTAGAGAGAGATTCGATTGTAGAGAGAGATGGTGATAAAAAAGGGGTTCTTTGTAGGAGAGAGTGAGTGAGTAAGGCCTTGGTAGAAAGAGCAATTGAGAGAAAAAGAAGGAGAAGGAGAAAAGTAAGTGGGAAAACCGTGAAGAGGGCCTCTGAGTTTTTTTACAAATCGAGAACCTAATGGGGAAACCGTGAGGAAGAAGGAGACGCCAATGGGAAAAACCGCGAGAAAGAAAGACAAGGCAATGGGAAAAACTGTGAGGAAGAAGGAGACGCCAATGGGGAAAACCGCGAGAAAGAAGGACAATGCAATGGGGAAAACCGCGAGGAAGAGAAGCTGGGGAAAATCGTGGGAAAAACCGCGAGGAAGAAAGAAAGGAAACGGCGAAGTCAAGAGAGGGAAAATAACATAGTAAAAATTGGGTAAAGTGAAAAACGGGGGGTAATTTTATCTTTATTTATTTTTATTTTTTTTAGGTTGAGGGATATTAGTAAAAAAAGTTACTTTTTAAAAGAAATAAGTAAAGATTAAGGCGGGGGTAGAGAGTCTAAAAAGCTCAATTTTGAGGGGTTTCAATAATTTTCCCAAGATTCTATGCCCCTGAGGCGCCATTTTGGAGAAAAATGACAATTTTGTCCCTTTCGGTTTAGAATATCCTCCACTCCAAACGGTATCTATTATTTCGGGATTTTCACTCTTCCTCTGCTTAGTGTGAAGGAGTTACTGATTGGGGAAAACCACCGTCGATATGGTGTATTTCATAAACCACTAAATTGGCCCAAGTTTTCCTTTCAAATAATGCGAATTTCTGTTCTTTTCCTGTACTTACCGAACTTATCAATTTAAAAGAGCAAATGATTCTGCAATTTCAGTCGGCAAATCACTCTAATCACAATTTCCCTATTGCTTTCCAAATATGACCAAATATGAATTTCTCCCTTAGAACATCATTCCAAAAATTGCACATAGTTCAACAAATCGGTCATTAATCACAAATAGAAAAATTTAGTCATCGGCAACGTAGTCACTCTGTTTATCTTCTCTGTTGCCATTGTGGATCCAAATGAAACAAGCAACATGCATAGCTACAAATATAGAAAAGAACTTACAGAATACCAAGGGTGCGTTTGATGGTGCAGAAAGCGTAATAATCGATTAAGCTTCTATGTTACATGATAACTTTTTATTTAGGGGAAATATCCTATAGCCCTATTACCCGTCTCCCAATTTTCCTCTTAAAATCAAGGAAACTAGCACCGTGGGAGAGCAGTTAATGATGCCTCACCGACTCAAACGTGCAAAAGAAAATGAATAAACAATATCAGATAAAATTACCATCAAACAAAAATGACACATCCACATCACATTCTTACAAAAAGATCACTCCTTTTGTAGTATTCCTGTGCAAAAGCAACATATATGAGGAGTTCAGAGAGAGAGAGTGCGTGAGATGGCACCCATCCTAGTATTTCCTCTTCCTAATCTTGAAGCTACATGACCGAATGATATCATCATCAGTTTTCAGTCTTGTCTCCAGAGCAGCCACTGATTCAGGCTTCGTGAAGTAAGTGAAAAGGAGGTAGATTCCATCCAAGTATGTGTTAGTCTCCCCTGCCTTGTTCTTCTTCTTAATGCTGTATGCAAGAGGTATGACCCCCCTGTTGAAAACCTCCACGTACATGCCACCTCCAGCAACCAACAACTGAAATTGCACAAACAACAGCGAGAACCTCCTCAGAGAGAGAGAGAGAGAGAGATGTTGTGTCTCCATAGTCGTTTCAAATCTTATAAGAGCATTGGTATCAGTTCGAAGCACTACAGATTTTCAAAAACCACGCATTAGGCTAAAAATTTAAGGAGCATGTACAACATATGGCAAAAGCCTGAGGATGAGAGAATTCTCACAGCAAAGAACTCCTAATTGCCAAAGACAAGGAAATGGGAGGGAAATAGGGTAAAAGGAAATAAATAAAACAAAGCAGGAAATTTCAATTTAATTGGAACAAAAGGTAAACAAAAAAAAATAACTCAATCAATCCTATGCTACCGTTTATGCATCACATTCCTTTGACAACAGATGATATTTCAGGCAAGAAATATGTCTTATGGATTTTGGCCACTCCAGCAATTGTGTCATGCCAGGAAATACTAGTATTTTCCCATATACCACATTGGCGGTTACAGTATCGACATTGTCAACTGCAAATGGATTTTGGCAACTCTAGCAATTGTGTCATGCCAGAAAATACTAGTATTTTCCCATATACCACATTGGCTGCTACAATGTCGACATTGTCAACTGCAAAGGATTTCAAAACCACCCTTTCACTCTATTAATAGAACTTACTCGTCCTCCTGAGCTGATAGATGAGGATGTATCAGGTCCTTTATCTCAAATTCATGCATTCTATAATTTTGGGACCCATATCTTTTGATTTTATTTCATAATGCCCATAAAAAACACATGATCATGTGTTGGAATAGTTCCAAATGGGTAAATTGTTAAACAGTTCATCTCTCATGCGTATACTGATAAATTTCCCTTTATGAATGACCATTCAGGATCCAGGAGGATTTACCTGTCTTAATTTAACCCATAAATGAATACATGTTTCCTCATTAAAACAATTTAAACTATTGGGTTTAGATACCAATCAAAGAAGGAAAGAAAGGAAAAAAAAAAGAAAGAAGAAAGATCTAGGGCATAGAAATAATACAATGGTCGGTTGGCTGTAATGAACTTTTGCTGTCTTTATTTTGCATGTTGCCTGAGCAAAGGATTTTCAAAAAAATTTCCTTCCCCCATATCCAGCTCATTAGTTACTTATATTAAAAAGATTGAGAACTTTAATAACCTGATTCTTTTGAAAAAGCTGAGACTAATGCCACGATTTGGGAAGCAGTAATCTTAAGATTAAGAAAGAAGTTCACCCTAAATTCAGGCAATAATCTAGTGGAGCACAGTGGATAGTGCTAGGCAATTGGAAAAGGCTTCAACTACATGTGACAAATCTGATGAAACTAATTATTCAAATGCTTTAAAAAACTTAATTTTACAGCCATCAACATAATCCTTGCTCTGGCTAAACAAATGGACTCAATGTTGTTCATTGAGAGCTGAATAGGAAGTGTATCACCTGGCTAAAATGAAATAGAGGATCACAAAATGCATGCTTAATAAAGAATGATATTTATGGATTGAAACAAACCAACAAGACATAATCTGCAAACTTCCCTAGTACTCTAAACTCTCAAGGATGGAGGATATGAACAGGTGAGCAGTGGCTCAGTCTTTGCTTGGCAAAATATTTGACAAAGGTGTCACGCTTGTTTTTCTCTACATAGATGACACCACCATCACAGGAAGGGCCAGAAGTGACATTCAAGAGCCAAAGCTTCTGTCAAACTCAACCATCTATTTTTGCTGAAGTAATTTTATATTAATTGTGGGTAAAATGTATAGCTTGTATCATATCATGGTTAAAAAATGGTAAGTGGTGAGAGATACATATATGTTGCTGTGAGTTAGTGTGAAGTTACAATATTGTTTTTAGCAATTCTAAGGGGAACCACTTGGGGCAGGGTCTCCACACGGTGAGTGTCTGCGCACAGCCCTTGCTGCGATGGTCCCTCCATGTGTGCTTGAAGATGACATGCAGGTTTTGACAGCTTGAAACTTTTGTCAAAAGTTGGTTCAAGACTCGAAGGGCATTTGGCTTCTTTCTTGGCCCAATTTATTCCATCCTAGGAGTCTCCTACCACTAGAAGAGAGAGGACCCAAGCAGGTGTCGAACATTTTAAATCCTGTTAAAAGCACTTGTGCCCCTGCCCAATCTGGTCTCGAACATTTTGAATCCTGTTAAAAGCACTTGTGCCCTTGCCCAAGTGGCATTAGCGAAGAATATGGGTATGCTGTCACGTTAGTGGTTCCTTAAAATGCCCCCATTCCGACGGGCCAGGGTTGCCAAGAGAGCATCCATCGAAATTGATTTTTATGATATTTGCCTCCAGTAGAATCCAATTGCTGGGGGAGGAGGCTTAATTTCTAGAACAAATAATGTCGTCTTTCCAGCATCCCTCAAGGTTGGATGCTGTGTAGGGGCTGTGTTCTTTTCGATCGGCATGCTCAAAACATGACCAAGGCTTTGATCAAGGATGGAAATTGTGTTCTCTTTCTGTTGTCAAACGATCTACTATTTCTCTCAAGCCAAATGGTCCGAGCCATGGCATGAAGGGAGGCTTGCCACAACATAAGACAATTGACACAAAAGAGAGGGAGTGTAAAGATCGGATAGCTGCTAGACTGAGCTTGATGTCGCCAAGGACCAAGCGAAAATATTTAGGATCCAGCCCCAAAGTCAAAGACTAGCATACAATGAAGGAAAAAGTGATTGCACTTCCTCTTTAGCCTTGCAGACAAGCCATATATTTGGTAGGGAAATTCGTCTCCTCTATGGACGATCCATGTTAACTTTGTTTGGGGTAAACAACCAGTTGAAGGCTTGTATTTTGGTAAGTTGAGGGACAAACCAGACCTGTGGTAGAGGCCGAAGGTTAAGGCCGTTGTAGAAGCCACAGGATGAAGGTTCCCAGATTTGTTTGTCCCTGCCAAAACCTGGGATAATATCCTAGTTACCCAGCAGGGAAGCGATGTCAATGATCTCTTGGTCATCATGGTTTTGCCCAAATATGGGGACCAGACTGTGTGGCCCCCAAGAGTCACAGAGTGGTCAGAAACCAAAGCGTCCTACTGAGTTGCTAGACGGAAAATGTTTGCGAAGACCTCCACTAGCTATTGTATCCCTACTCATTTCTCCTTCCAAAGCCTGGATATAATCCTGGTTACCCAGCAGGGAAGCTAGGTCAATGATCTCCGTCGTTAAGGTTTTGGCCAAAAATGGGGACCAGACTGTGTGACCACCAAGAGTCGCATAGTGATCAGAAACCAAAGCATCCTAGTGGGTTTCTAGAAGGAAAAGGTTTGGGAAGGCTTCCACAAGCTATTGTGTTCCGACCCATTTCAAAAGCCTGATTTGAGAAGGTTGGTGAGATACCGGCAATAGGTTTCCATGTCCCTGAAGCCCTTGGTTAAGGGGGCCCATTGGGGAGCCACCCTGAGGCATCGAGCCCATCTTGTGTTGATAACATCTTGCCCTAAATATCCCTCTTCCATGGCAAATCTCCACCATCATTTGCTTAAAAGGGCTGTGTCATATTCTCTTTTTTTTTTTAACCCCCAAGACCCCACTTTTTTGGGTAGGCAAACAGCTCCAACTCACAAAGCAAAATTTGTGGTGGCTCAGACCCCATGCCATAAAAACCTCTCAGACACTGCTCCAGCAAGTGCTCGACTAAAACATGCATACGACCACTCAAAGAGAATAGCCTGCACTTCGGCCATGCGTCTTCTCTCAACTTTCTCCATGACCCCACCATAAAGGACCTTCAGTGCTTTTCCATGCAAATTAGAAGACCCAAGTGCTAGGCGGGAAGCAAGTCAAAACCGCAACCCACCATTTTGCTAGTTCAAGGTGCAGCTTGGGGGGCAGCATGACCCCAATGGGCTTGGTTTTGGCCATGTTGACTTTAAGCCCAGTGAAGTCAAACCATTTCATGAACAACCAGAAGGGTTCCAACTGGGATGGATATGAGTCACAGAGAAGGAGGGTATCATTTGCGCATTGGAGGTGGGTGATGGTTGGTCCACTTGCCGAGGATGTGATGCCTGAGAGAGAGTGTGTTGTTGCTTTAGAGTTGAGTGAAGCAGGCACTAAAAATATCAGCCACTGCCGCAAAGAGAAAGGGCCACTGCAGATCTCCTTGATGGAATCCCCTAGGGCTCCATTTCGTTCCCTAAAGAAGCATGTCCTAGGAGATGCCTCTCCTGGAATATTATGGGTGCCTGCTGTTTTGATGGCATCTGATAAGAGACCTGGAAGCATGGTTTTAAAATCCGGCCACGTCGTCGCATATGCGGCCGCATCATGCGGTATGTGGTGGGCTCCGCATCAGAACTGACCACATATGCGCTTTTGAACTATGCAGCCGCATTAGGCCGCATCTCGCATCCCACTGCATCCCCTTCTGCCAAATTTTTTTCGATTTTGCCCCTCGAGGAGGGGCAAAATGGTCTTTTTGACCATCCAAAAATGGGAAAACTGGTTTGGGGGGGGGGGGGGTGGGTATTAAACCCCCTAAACGATGATTTTTTGCATCAAATCGAGGGAAAAAAGAATTTGGCGGAAATTTATTTTTCATTCAAAATTGACTCTCAAAATGGATGATTGTATTAAGTTATTAACTATTAACTCTTCTTGAGCTTGACAATTGGTTTGTAATAGCACTATTTTGTGCTTATGGTTGTTGATGGTTGTGCTTATGGTGCAAATTTGTGCTTATGGTTGTTGATTGTTGAATGTTTTATGAAGGTAGTTTCAAGTTTCTAGTTTCTATCAGGGGATAGTGGATAACTGGATTCAGAATATCCGACAGATAAAATTTTTAAAGTTAATCATTAAACTAAAATACCTACTATCACATATAGCACCTCCATATTTTTTTCTATGCATTAACCTATTTTTTTAGATTTTTTAAAAAAAATTTACATTTATTGACCGCATCGTCGCAATGCACCGGCATCCAGGCCGCATCGAGCCTCATCGCCCCCCCCCCCACCGCTTTTGGCCGCATCCTGCATTTTAA